TAGTTCACCGTCACGGGAGAGTGTGTAAAGCTGCCAATATCTGAACGTAACCGATTAGTCGACTACTAAAATAGTCACCGATTATTTTAATAGTCGATTAGTCATCGATTAGTCGACTAATCGTGGCAGCCCTATATGGGAAAGGAGTTTATTTTGTTTTTAGCGGGTGTTCCTGCATGTAAAAAAATACAAATATACTTGCTAATTTTGGTGGAAGACATCAGTGAATTTGTTGAGTCTGTGGTGGACTTTGTAAAACAACAGAAGCAACTGCAGACAAAACTATAGTTAAATCGTTACATAACCAGAAACCATGGATTACCAGATCCATTTGGAATGCTATAAACAGATTAACGTCACAGCTAGACTGAAAACATGAACAAGCATGAAGAAGCCTTCCACAAAATAAGAAGAGGCGGTGGGAAAAAAAGACAAAATTTCAATGCACACATTGAAGAAACTGACAGGATTGTGTTGCACCTTGTATGATTTCATCTGACAAGTAAATACTTTGTTCAGCCACAGGGGAGCGCCTTTCAGCACAAATGCTTCGTTGTGAGCAGTACAATATGTCATCAGCTTCTATATTTTTTGTTTTTATCACAGATACTAAAATTTTTCGGGGTATGGCATGTTATGCACGCTATGTCAGTTGCTCTCACTGTATACTGTATTCTATACTGTATGTGACATCTCTACCCCTCTGGGCCAATTTAGCAAGTTTTTTCCACAATTTTTGAGAGTCAAAATGTAAATTAAATGTTAAGTTTAAGTCTTTGGACATAAAATGTATTTAAACTGACATGTTGGACAAATGCTGAGAAATCCATTGTCGAAGAGGCAGAGATGCATTTCTTTCAATATAACACAGTAAATGAGCCAGATAGCTTAACTTGCATCAGGACATGGACACCTGCACAGACAAGACTCTCTGTCAACAGCTGCATATTTATTATCATAAATCACATTAAAGATCTGAGTTACACGAAAAACGTATTTTCCCCTCTGCAGGCTCACCCTCGCTTGCGGCGGCATTGCCATGAACTCAGTTGATGACCTCACACCTGAGTGCTTGGGACACGCTGGGTTGGTTTTTGAACACACACTGGTGAGTATCCATCTGAGTTCTTCTGACTGTATTCTTTTATTTATTTATTTATTCCAGTCTAAAGGTGTCACTCCTAATCCTGTTTGCAGGGAGAGGAGAAGTACACATTCATCGAGAAGTGTGGGAACCCTCGCTCCGTTACCCTGCTGGTGAAGGGACCCAACAAACACACCCTTACACAGATCAAAGATGCCGTAAGGGATGGTTTGCGGGCAGTCAAGAACGCCATTGAAGATGGTAAGATGAGAGGGAACCTGAAATTTTACCATATGTCCGTTTTGTGGAAATATTTACTGCTGTGATGCTTTTAATGTTTTATCATGCATTGACTGTCATGTTGTAACATTTAAAACTTGCAGTTTTAAATGTTTCAATTTAGAAAAGAAAGTTAGTTTTGTCCCTCTTCTGAAGCTTTGGTTTCCCTGTCTAAAGCAACTATGTAAAGCCTCTCCAGACTTTGTTATCCAGATGTTACATTCAACAAAATCTGCTTTACAGACAGTAGCTCCAGTCATTTCTTTATGTTCTTTTGCTTATCTTGATTTTGATTTTATCATGAAACTAATTACTGAAATGTGCCCAGTTTATTTGTGTTTTGTTTTGTTTTTTATATATAAAATTTAGTTGGGTTCATTTGCACAGCGAACACCCAGGGATGCTGATGTGGCTCTCCCTGTTCTCCCATGTCTGTGCTACAGTGACTCTGGTCTTTACCTCTGCGTTAGGAGTGTTTCAGTCTCTCCTACATGTATTAGCTGATCAGAACAAACTCCCCAATTTTTTTTTAATTCAATTAGTTTTAAACATATTGTTCCTGCCTTGTGGAGCCGAGAAAGTTATACCTGTGTTTTCTGAGTATTTTTTTCCCCCTCTTTGTTTCTTTAGGTTGTGTCGTGTCCGGCGCAGGTGCATTTGAGGTGGCTGTCGCGGATGCTCTGGTGAAACACAAGCCCAATGTGAAAGGCAGAGCCCAGCTGGGAGTCCAAGCATTTGCAGATGCTCTCCTAGTCATCCCCAAGGTGAAGGATTTTTACCTTGTCCCCAGGCTTCCACTGTTTCTTTGTGCTTAGATAAATCTCTTGCTCCTGAATAAGGCTATAATATTTATAGTCCCACAAACAGACTTACACATTAGACAGGGAAAATGTTAAAAAAAGATTTGTTAGCATTCATACTGTATCAGCCTCTGACTTTAAAAATGCAACCTCCTTTGCAGGTTTTGGCCCAGAACTCCGGTTACGACCCGCAGGAGACCCTGCTGAAGCTGCAGACGGAGTACAAAGAGTGTGGACAGCTAGTTGGAGTCGACCTCAGCACAGGTCAGAACCACAGCACACTGTTAATAGAAGATTATTTTGCATGATATACTGCAAGAATTCCATAATACATCACAATATCTGTTTTTCAAAAGCAGCAATCAGTGATATAAGACTATTAACTCTGATAGTAGTTTGATGTGCTTCATGTTATTTTTTCTGAGGTTAAACTCTAATAAAAAGTGCAGACAGTGTGAGCCTTTTTACACACTGAGGGGCTGTTGCTCAGGAGGTAGCACGGTTCATCGCTATAGAAAAATCAGCGCTTCGATTACTCCAGTCCGCAGTATCCTGGGGCAAGATTCTGAACCCCAAATTTCTCCTGATGGCTTTGCTCGAACTCGAGTAGGAGTTTTAAAACAGCACGGTGAGAAATAAGAGAGATGTCCACTTGCAAAACCAGCGTGGTTTGGCAGTACTGTGATCTAGAAAATGAAATCAGCAGCAATTTATGTTTTTTGAGACATTATATTATTTGTTAACTTTAAGTGAGTTGTTTTATTAACTTTAAAGTGACTTGCTATCATTTCTGTTGGATAATCTGCAAGGTCCAATGTGCCCCACATTTCAGAGGCAATTTGCCGTCACGTTCACATTCATACCGCACGGCGCAAAGTGTCTCGTCCTTCAGTGACATTTAAAATATGTCACGGTTGTTGAAGATTGCAATTAAAGTAGTCTTTTGAGACAAACACACAGAAAACAGTCAAAATTTAGCACAGTTGACTAGTCAATTAAAATTTTGGTTTAGTCGACAGGGAAATTAGTCACCAGGATTATCCCTAGTCTTGGAAGCATAAGGGATGCTTTATGAGGGTTCTAATGCACTTATGTCACAAGCTTGTTTTTTACTTAAATCCTGTTGTTCTTCAGGGGAACCCATGGTGGCAGGAGAAGCAGGTGTTTGGGATAATTACAGCGTAAAGAAACAGCTTCTCCATTCATGGTAAGATCACACATTTCTAAACAGTGCAAGATCAATAATATGTGGAATTCTTATGCATAATTTCCTCATCAAACTCGTATTCGACTCTTCATTTCTTTACAGCACGGTGATCGCCAGCAACATCTTGCTGGTGGATGAGATCATGCGAGCTGGAATGTCATCTCTCAAAGGTTAAAGGTCCACTGAAGAAGCTGCAGCTGTCATCATACTCACAGGGATAGTTGTTTACCTGATGGTTCAGTCAACGTATCCCCAGTCTAGGAACTCTGAAGCATCCCAGTCTGATGGACGGCCCGCTGTTAACCCCACAGCATCCATCACAGCGTCTGTCAGAAACCATTGTTATATTCGTTTTGGGGTTTTTTTTCCATGGATTTGTCAATGCCTCCCTCTGATTGGTTTATTTATGAGATTTTGTTAAGCACTGACCTCTGCCACTCAGTTCTGTTTCTACCCATTAAAAGTTTTCTTGGCTCTTGAAGGATTTGGTGGCTGTTTGTCTTTGAAGAGTAATCAGATGCATAACATACAGTTATTGACTGCAGAGAGAAACTGGCTGCTCAGCGTCAACAATATTCTTATTCTAATTGGAAGAGTGCACAAATATGAACAAAATCCGGACCAATTTATTAAAACGTGTAAACAACCAGCAGTAGAATGTAACTTCAATACATATTTGGTACTTGAACTTGAGCGTTTCCATTTTCTGCTACTTCTACTCCACAACAATTCTAAATGAAAAATATTTTACTTTTAACTAAAATACAAGCTGTATTTACTTTAAAGATAAATTTTTATACACAAAACTGAAACGTTTATATGACATGCACTGATAGATTGAACCGCCCAACGCTATGTAATAGTCAAAACTGCTTCATCTTCAACAGTTACAGCAAAGTGCTTCTCACACATGAACGCATCATAGATAAAAAAAAAAAAAAAAATCCTTTTCTACTCTGATAACAGATGTAGAATATTTCTTCTACCACTGCACACAAACTAAATACACATACTTATGACCATGAACAGAAAAAACTGAATGGTTCAAATATAATTTCTTAGTCTATGCACGCGAAATTTCCATTTTAAGTTTTTGAAACAAAAATGTCTGGCGTTCATGTAGTACAATCATAAAGGGCATTAAAAGTGTTAAGATAATTACTTAGTAAAGAAAGTCAAGGTTGTAAACGTGGATATAAAGTAATATATCTTAAAGGCTTTAATTGATGAAAATCATTTTACAAATACACTTATCAAGGGGATGATTTGTTCTTTAGCTAGATGAGTTTAATTTTTCACGTAACATAAACTGTGGCTTCATATTTAAAAAAATAAATTTAGTTATTATAAAAAGTTTTGTCTATTTTTTATTTTGATTTTCTTTTCCAACTGTAGCACGTATATAATTTAGCGGCAAGAAGTAGCGTTTTATTGTCTTAAATTTAACTTCAGAGTTTAAAAATTCTAAATAAAACTTTATAACTTTATAACAGCATTGTGTCGCTTCGTATCATTGTTGTAGGGAAAGGGAAAAAATCAATTGAAAGAAATTAAATACTTGTGTTGACGTTTTTTAATGAAGCTGAACCTTTTGTTTCACACGGAACCTGTTTAGCGTTGAACCCATTTCCGGTGCAACGGTTAGATCTGTCCGACAGAAATGTATCCAAGTTTGGGAAGTTTTGCTGATATTTAGCTCTTAAACTTGTATTTTTATAAACGTTATATACACATACGTAATGCTTCATTAATGTTAGCTAAAACTAGCCTGTTAAAATGAAGGTTAAAGTAGTGTTTCTGATATCTGCGGTGGTTTTACTGACAGTGTCGGGTAAGATATTACTTTTTTCTGAACATAACGTTACTTAAATTATATTAACACTGAATCGCCATGATAGAGACAAGTTTCGTTTTGACATACAGCAGCAGATGACATGTTGAGTATACCAGGAGGAAAGATGTTAATGGGAACCAGCGCAGCTGATGGGAGAGATGGAGAGGCTCCCACCAAGGAGGTTCAGCTGCAGCCGTTTAAAATAGACACATACCCCGTCACTAACGCCGACTTCAGGTAATCAGACTTGCTACCTGATATAGGAGTGTTTTGATATTACTTAGCAAAATATTATATAACTAAACCGCTGACCTTGATTCACTACAGAGACTTTGTGAGAGCACAGAAGTAAAAAACTGAAGCTGAGACGTTTGGTTGGAGTTTTGTGTTTCAAGACTTTGTGCCTGAAGAGCTGAAGAGCAAAGTCACACAGAGGATTGAGGTAGTGGGATTTTTGATCACTCAGAGCATAATTGTTAGTCTGACGTCAAATGACCATTAATTAATCATTTCAATCAACAGGAAAACAACAAACATTTCTTGTTTGCAGACTATCAGATTTTAAGATTTGCTTCTGCTCCATGTTTTACATTATTGTAATTGATTTCTTTGCGTTTCTAGCTGTTGGTCAGACAAAAAAAAAAACTTTATAATAGTAATAATGACTTCAGTGTGGGCATTATAGACTAAATGATTAATTGTTTAAAAAATAAATAGATTAATCAATAATGAAAATTGTAGTTGATGGTGTAGAAACATTTGGCAGTCTGCCATACATACTGTAAGAACACTGTCAGATACACTTGGTAGACTTTAAATATAGCAATTACCATTTGTAATGCTGTCCTATAGATAACTTTTGATTCTCGTCCTTCTTATCCAGTCTGCTCCTTGGTGGCTGCCTATAGAGCGGGTGTTTTGGAGACAGGTGAGGTGATAAGTCTCTTCCTTTGTTGTCTGAATATCTCGTAGCATGCCTTCAGTGCTGGCCTTTAACTCCTTTGACCTTCCTCTGTTCAGCCTGCAGGACCTGGTTCAGGCATTCGGGAGCGCCTGAGCTTCCCGGTGGTTCAGGTGAGCTGGAATGATGCTCAGGCCTTCTGTCGGTGGAAGGGCAAGAGACTGCCTACTGAGGAGGAGTGGGAGTGGGCTGCACGTGGGGGGCTGCAAGGTACACAGTCAATACACTGAAAGCATAGAAGAAATACTGTGTGTGCCGCCATTATGGTTATATGTTCTAACTTTTTGACTGTTTATTCGCATCTACTCTTGACTGACATCCATTAAACAGAGTTAGAACTGTTTTATAGTTTTGACGACCACCTTGTTCAATAATCAGTGTACAGTTTCATTGTTTGCAATGTCCTCTTATCCCTTTCCTGCCTCTTGTGTTCCAGGTCGAACTTATCCATGGGGAAACAAGTTCCAGGCCAACAGAACCAACCTGTGGCAGGTCAGCTCACAACAATAACGCATGTTGCAGAAGCACTGCACAGTTATATGCTCAGACAAGAGATTTACTGATATGTATTTTTTAACTGATGTGGCAGCTTCCCTTTATTTCTGCAGATAATTATAATACTTTCTTCAGCTAAACAGATAAATTGATATTGGTGTAAAACTTTATTAGACCTTCTTATCCAAAGGTAATCATGTGTCGTTGTTTATAATAGACCATGATAACTAAACTGTATTGCTAATTTGTATTAATTAAGATACTTATAGGAAAATTCTGCTGTAAGATAATGTGTGTTTGGTATGATTTTGAACAATGCTGACGTTTTGGCCTGTTGAACTTTATCAGAGCAGCCAGGTTGAACAGTTTATCATGGCCAAAATAAACTGGTGAAACTGAGATTGGTCAACTCTGTCCTGAAGATCTGTGTGTGCTGCCTTTTTACCTTAAAGTATGTTGGAACATTATGAACCTTGTTATAGCACCACAAACAAACACTGGGAAGGTGCATCCTCTGAAAGTCTTAACTATTTTAGATCTCCTGTCATATGAAAAAGTCATGTTCATGTGAAAGCATTTGAAAACACAGGCTTTGTAATAACTTAATTTTCTGAATGTTTAAGGGATCGTTTCCAGATGTTGACACCGCAGAGGATGGATATCATGGCATCTCTCCTGTGGCAGCATTTCCTCCTCAGAACAATTATGGTAAATGTCTCTTAGTTAACATTAAAGTATGGTTAAAGAGTAGAAGTGCTAGACAGACATAGATGTTACAGAAATATTAAAACCAAATAGAGAGTTAGGTACTCTGCTGTGAGTGTTTCTCGCTTTGAGAGGGATTCGATTCATTTGGTATCTCTGTTAGGGCAAATGAAAATCCTGTGTGAAATATTATATACATTTATTCTTCCTGCAGGACTGTATGACATGATGGGAAACACATGGGAATGGACATCCACACTCTTTCCAGCAGCACAGCCCATGTATGTGTTGCGTGGTGGCTCCTGGATCGACACGGTGGATGGCTCAGCTAATCACAAGGCACGAATCACGACCAGGTGAGTTATTAAAACAGAAAAGAAAGAAAAACACTGTGTTCTAGACTTTGAGCTCACACAACAACTGTATGGCAATCCTGCTTGATGGTTATGATTCTGTGTCCTGCAGGATGGGCAACACCCCTGACTCTGCCTCTGATAACCTGGGATTCAGGTGTTCTGCGAGTGACGGACAGAAACAAGGGAAGAAAAAAGGGAAAACTGAACTGTAGCAACAAACAGGAAGTCATAAATATTAAATGAAGGACAAGAAAGTTCTTTTGAGCCAGACAAAGAAAAAGAAAAAAAAGCAAGGGACCAATTAGTATCAATGGCTAACAATGAATTTTACTAATGGTGACAGGGCGACGTGAGTGAAGAGACAAACTGTATTTCTCCTGTGGAGAACTTTTTATTAATGAACTTGAAGAACAAACACAAACATACTAATATCTAACATTCAAAAAATAAACGATTTTTCAAATAAAAAATAAATTTCTTGTTACTTTTTCCCCCCAAAATAATGAGACTAGCTGCAGATTATTTTAGGGGCATGACTGAAGGGACTTCTTGCCGCACTGACTGGAAGAATTAGGACACTCTTTGACTGTCACTGGCAGTCTTCCTCCTGCACGCTGGGATCTGTCTTTTGTCGAGTGTTTTTATGTGACTGGAGAGTAAATCAGTCCGTTGGCTTAGTCACAGCCTGCTATAATCCCGTCTTTGTCTTTTTGTTTACTCTCATCTCGAGTGGCCAGCTGAGAGGTTGTTTGGACTCATTCTGATTAACACCACAGATAAAAAAAAAAAAAAGTTTTCAGCTGAACTCCAGTTTTGTCTAAGTAGCAAGTTACTGTCTTAAACTAAGAAGTGATGGAGTGCTTTTGAGCTGGCCACACAATCCAGTTATATCATGCAAGTGAAATGTGTTTTTAGTGACTGACAAATATTTACTCAAGGCAAATCAGAGCTGGCAGCTCGGTTCTCGTAACATACAGTATGAGGACAGTGTCACAGTTCCTTAATTGTCAAACTGGAAATTCAACATGTAGTGTTTCAAAAAAATGCAAATTAGAATTAAACTGGATTAATTTCATTTTTAAATTTTCAGCCTCTTATTATCAGTGTCATAATTTGACACTGTTGCATCATTAGTTTATAGGGATTCACATGCATGATGTGGATGCTTGCAGACCCTTTAGTCCTGAGAACTTCACCTCAGGATTTGTATTGAAACTCACAAAGGGGAAAAAAGGATGCAAAAGTTCAACATACTCGCTTTCTGGTGAAGAGATTATTCAACAGCGATACAATATTTCATGTGTGGAATGTAAATCAGCCTGTTTTGAGATTTTCTTTGGGATAGATTTTCTTGCAGAGATATTTCTGTCTTATTAATGACCATATCCTAGACAGTATAAATGTTACTAAACAAAAGAAATGCTGGGAATAAGTGGCACTGTCTCATGTGGTTATCAGAAACTTTCTGTTTTAAAGGGACAATTCTTCCCCAGAATCAAAAAATCAAATACATTTTCCTCTTACCTATAACATTGTTTATCAGTCTAGATTGTTTTGGTGTCGGACGGTGAATATTGCAGATATCAGCCATAGAGATGTCTGCCTTGTGAATATAATGGGACTAGAGTGCCAAAAAATACACTTGAAAAACTCAACAGCAATATCCCTTTCGCAAAATCATGACAAGGTTACTCAAGATAATCTACAGACCTTGTTGTGAGCAGTTTCATTTAGGAAATATTTTCTTATATCCAAAACTACACCTGCCAATGGTATCACTGTGCACAAGGAAACATGCATCTACTGCTAGCTTACCTAGCACCACTGAGCTAGCTAATGTTACAGCTCACCTAAGGAGGACGTCATTAATGTTTACATCTTGATCTGTCATGAGCAGGAGCGTCTTGTTCATGAGTAGATGCACGCTTCCTTCTGCACAGTGATACTATTGGTGGGTGTAGTTTGGTAGAAAGAAAATAGTTCCTACATGAAACTGCTCATAACAAAGTCTGTAGATTATATTAAGTAACCAGGTTATAATTTCTGGAAAGAGACTTTGCTGTTGAGTTTTTTTAAATGTGTTTTTTAGTTCCATTATATTTGAGAGAAGACAGACATCCCTACATCCGATATCTCCAACACTCTGCAACTCACACCAAAACAATCTAGATTAATAAATACCAAAAGAGGGGAGAGTTAAAAATGTGTATTTTTGATTTTGGGTGAACTGTCCCTTAAAGTAATAAGTCTTGAAGGATGAATATAGAAATGTCCTGCTGAGACGTGTTTGTGATAACATCATCTGATCTATAAATAGTGTCACAGAGAACGTTTCCTGCATACTCTAATTAGATTTGACCTATTTAGAATAAAATGTAGATTACTGGAGATGATGAAGGAGAAAAGGAAATAGTTTTACACTTAAGATTGTGCCCACTTTCCTTGTGAAGCGGTGACCTACTTCCTGCAGATATGAGGCATGAGTGCAGTACATAATATTTGGTACAGAGTTTTTGAGAAGGAAAACACTTAAGATTGTAAATCCACACAATACAACCGTGAACCACTTCCTGCCCTGCTGCTGTTTATAGAAAAAGAAAAAAAGACTAGGTCTATAATTAAAGTTTTATTAGATCACATTATGAACACAATTAAGTGAAGAACGTGACATGACAACTTGAAACGTGACTGGCAGAACATTATGTGTCCCTCTGAAGCAAGGAAATAAACTGTAAAAATAGTTGTTTAATTGAGAGTAAATTAACTGGTGATTCTTTGGCTGCAACCTTCAAATCAACTCACACCTGCATGAAAAGAATAACTTATAGCTTCTTCTCGTGCTCAGTACATCACAGAGACATCGCTAAGTATTCAGTTATAAAATAAGATGTGTTGATGTGTCACTGACTCATCTCTGCTCATGTATGTGGGTGATTTGTGACCAAAAAAAAAGTACCCTCTTGACTGCAAGGAATGACTACAACTGGTGTTTTCCCCCCATGTGTTTCAGTTCCTGAAATGAATCGCTGACTAGGCAAAGGAAAATATAAGTCACAACACAGATTCAACCTGCCTTCCATTGACACTGGCTGTAAATTATTCTATTTACCCTGGTCACCATCTCCTCTGCTCAGTTTATCTATGTTACTTGTAAATAAAAGAGCAGGTATCATGCGTCAAGCCTGAATAATCCCTCTCTCTCAAAGGATCAAAAGCCCTCCTCCCTTTGTTCCCCTGCAGCTCTGGTATGTTTGCACGTCATGTGTTTGTGTAACGACAAAAAGAAGGAAGAAAACCCACACGGGCCACACGAAGCCACAGCCTCCAGTGACATCACATCATGTCATGTCGCGTTCCTGTGAAGACGCATGCAGTTCAGGAAAAACAAGTTTGGAGGCATTCTGTTTGTTACCCTCCCTTCTTAACTCTCTGTCTTCCTCTTGCTCTTCAGTGTGTAAACACATCCTGACAGTATCCTCAGGTGGTTTAATTGACTATGTCTGCCAAGCCGATCATGGACTACTCTCAGCCTTTCTCAGTCCTAAACGAGAGACTGAGACCTAGAGTCACTACCAGCGAGCAGCTCTACTCCTCTCTGACCAGACTGGAGGGCAGACAGATGAACTCGCTCAGGAACAAATCTTCATCTTGCCGACCTGCAGTTCTGCCAACACAACCAGAACCAACAGTCTCAGTGTCCATAACAGAACCAGAAGACCCAGAGGAACCTGGAGACGACTCGGAGCAGGAAGATTTGGTCTCTGATGAAGGAAGCTGTGCTGATCTGTTGAACACCTCAAGCCTCCTCGCTGAGTTAAATTTAAAGGACTTTGGTATAGAGGAGCTCGTTGACGAGAACAGGAGCACCTCCTCGTCTGAGGAGAAAGACAATCCAGGTGAGCTGACCTCAGGGGGGACAGGTCAGTCCGAGACAGAAGCCTTGGAGACTGACGGTGGAAGCTCTTTCCAAAGGAGCTACCTAAATGGGACTTTACCAGACCTGATCAAGAGTGGCAGGCCGCTCGGCAGACGGCGAACACTGGGACATGTCACAGACACGGTAGGATAACAGTCCTTATATATTTAAAATGAGGGTTTGTTGCTGTCCTGGAAAATCTGTCTTGTGCAGTGCATGAATCTAAATCTATTCTGCTGCAGACAGGCTAGTCAAACAACAAAACCTGTTATACAGGGAGCAGCCAGATTCTCAACCGTCACTAAGGAGTGTATTTACAAAAACACAGCATTAAAGATGCAAATTGTCCCAAAAAAAACAAGAGATCTTCTCCCTCATCATAATGAAGTATAATCAAAATTAGTTTGACGTCAGAGCACTGTAAACTTCAGTCTGCAGTGAACTACGTTTATGATTTTACATCTGCTGATGACAGGGCTTGATTTGTTGTTGGGGGTTGAGATGGAAACAGTGTTGGTGGGAAATGTTTTGTGCCTCACACTTCATGTTAATAACTTTAAACACTCTGTCATCTTGGTGTGTCTTTGAGTGTGTTTGTATGAATGCATTCATTTGTGCTGATTGCAGCGTTTGATTAATGTCTGGGCTGGTACGACTGGATTTCTTGCTATGGTTTCACTCAGGAATCTAGATTAGCAGTTTCTGTTTACACTGTGTAAAAATGTCACAATGTACTTTCTTTGTGCGGGCCTACAGTTATCTACGCAGCAGAAATGTGGTGACTTGTAAAAAATGTACTGATATGGTCTTCATTGTTTGCAGCTTAAAGAAGTACGCAGAGAGGTGGAGCTGTCTCGGAGACGAAGCATCAAGCTTAAAGCACAGGTGGACAAACTGCAGGAGGGCAGAGATGGCCCGGGATGGAGCCATCACAGAGAGAGGGTATAAGTTACACACAGTACCAGGACTTCTGTTGTACATCTGCAGAACTCTTTTTTTAAATAATTCCTGCCTGTTCATTTCTATCCCAGGTGACAGAGGAGGTTCTGTCTGTTCTGCGGCTGCTGCGCCCGCTGACAGAGTCACAGTCCAGCCAACGTGAACCCCCTCAAGGGGAAAACCAACTGGATGCTTCACTGGCCCAGCTGCAGAATGTGGCCCGCGAACTGGCAATCCACCACACCAAAGAGGTGAAAGCAGCACCCACTCAGATAAAGCGCCTTACCCCTATCATATTAATCTCAGGCTGAGTTGATTTTATTGGGCAGGTCACCTGGGAGAATGTTTGCTTTGTACATACAAATAGAACGAAGGTTCCTGATAAGGCAGTATAATGAAAAACGTTTCAACGACTTCATGTTGTTTCTCATTATTTTGAGATAAGTAAGTCAGTATTTTGAGAAAGTTTCTCATTATTATGACCTCCATAAAAACGGACCTCCATAAAAATCCAAATATATTAAAGTGGAAACAGAAACCTTTTAACCCCGATCCAGCCCCAGCAATTCCACATGGTATTATTGTTGCCACCGCTGTTGCAAAGAGAACTGGATCGCTTTTGGTTTTCCTCAGAGCCGAGCAACTACCACAGTTTCCACAGTTACTTTGGTTGTCCCCTATTTACATTACACTGATACTCTTTGTTAACCGCGGATAGATGCCAACAGCTACTGGGAATAACAAATCTGTATCCTCTTCCTGTTTTGGTTGCACAATGGTTGACGCTCTTGCTTTGTGCTGTAAATTAAAGCCTTAATTTTCTCAGGGGTGATCGTACCCTGTGACTGACAGAATTGCAGAGTCAGAGAGAGGCAGTATTAGCATAAGCCTATGGCATTTTACATTGCAAAAATTAGCCTAAAGGCTAGCAGACTTTCCTCTACTCATATGTTTTAAAATGCTGTTTTGGGGGGCTTTATTGTCTTTACAATTTAATGTTCCTAAACTGTGAAATAAAAGTAAATAAAAGCTTCATTTTCTGCTTCGCTGCGGCGTGTAGTTACATTTAGGTAGAGGTGCATAATACGCTACGGCGTAGGGTATGCATCTATGCAGAGCCTTTATTTTAGGTATGGTGTAAATTCGAAGAAGAAGTATAAATCCTGCTTATAGGAGACCAATCTAAACACTGATGGGGTCATTATTCTATAGCCATGACATTGTCAACATTTACTTAATGATAAGTTAAAGTGAAACACTTCTATTCCCACTTTAACTTGATACAAGTTGTGGCATCTGCTCTATTTAAAGATGTATTCACTTGCCAATTAAAAATGACTCATTAATACATTTTTGGCAAAGCAGCAAGGAATTTCTATTGTCAGCAGGGTAGTTTTAATATACTGTAAGCCCTGAGGCCTGTACATAGATATTAAAGCTCAGGTGATAGACCACGTGTGCCCTCCTGATGAAGCATCATCCTCATTGTTAAGGTGTCAGAGCTCAACTATGTGGTCTGACAGGTTTACACGCGGCAGTGTCAGTAATCTGAGTCTGTCTGGTTTTTACTGTATGTTAGAGAAAGTCACAAGATGTGTGACTGATGATGAGATCAAATCAGAATCCTGTAAAAGTACAGATAACAGAGAGTGAAGTCAGTCAGGTTAAAGGCAGAGATGTGACAAAACATAACCTGCCTCCTGTTGGTTCATTCAACAGTTCAAATCCGGCAAAGACGAAGCAGCAGAGGACAGCGCTATCCTGCAGCAGGCGTTACGGGACAGAGACGAGGCCATAGAGAAGTGAGTACACGCACACATGATGCACACAGTCACCTTCTCTAAATAACCGATGAATCAGGGGGGTGAAAAGGAAGCTGAAAGACATGAATCTATTTTTGAGGAATGTGTCGTTCTTTCTGTTCCACCATGCAGGAAGAAGGCGATGGAGGCCGAGCTGCTGCGAAGTAAAACAGAGATGATGTCACTGAACAACCAGCTGCTGGAGGCGGTGCAGAAACGTCTGGAGCTGTCGCTGGAGCTGGAGGCCTGGAAGGTAAAATCTGAGATGGGCTTAATGTTTAACAAAGACAAAACCAGTGAATAAACTCAAATAAATAAAAAAAAAACTAAAATCTAACATGGAGTCATATTAAGCAAAATAGAGATAATGTGAGAAATCTGGGAAAGTAGGACACAGTGTATATATACACACACACACACACACACACACACACAGCCTAATTAGTGTAAAGTTCACACGTCACTTTCAGGATTCAGAAAGTATTCAGCTGTGAAACACACACAAAACAAACTCAATTAAAACTCCCACACATTACAGCAGCACATCCAGGCGTTACTGCCAGCTGGTAACCTGCCACAGTGTTTTGGCCTCAGGCCCACGTGTTCAGCTGGTGAGCACCAGGCTTCCTGCAGAGTTAAACTGAAACAACACTGTACTTTGCTAGTGTTGTCAGGTTTACTGGGGAGAGCAGCGGTGTCACAAAGTGTTGGCCGTTTGGAGCTAAAATGCCAAAATGTTATTGTCACAATTACATGATTTGTATTGATCAAATCCGTCTCTGGTTATAATTTTCATCTTAGTTTGTTTTTCAATCTTTCAGTGATCTGAAAACACATCATCTCATAGAACATCAAAGTCTACTCGCTTCCAAGTCGTGAAATGTTAAAAATGTGAACAAGTTGGATGTTAAGAGCCCATTTTTAAGAAATATTTGTCTTTTCTTTACTTCTAGCTCTCTGTGTGTACCTTTATGTTTTTTTTTTTTTCGGTCACACAGTGGGAGACAATTTCATTCTTTCTTTACAGACGATCCCTGTGATCTGAGAGGTAAAGTTAAGGGACTGTATGAAAATTATTGAGGTGGGGAGGGAGGTAGGATCTTATTTTTCACTGTTTAAAAACTATTTTCTTTAGGGCCTCTCCTGTAAAAAAAAAACTTACAATGTATTGGAATAATAATCAGTGGTCACCAAAAGACACATTATTTTAGATTAAATATATTCTAAATAAAAGGCTAAACTTGAGTTATAATATGGGCCAACTTAATACGTTATACTTAAAGGTTTGAAGGTATACTATGCAGGAATTGTTGGCTGCTGTTTGCAAACAGTATCGCCAGAGAAAGTGAAACCCAACCTCGGCTTTGTCCGCTTGGCATTTCGCCTTGCTATATTTGTTTCCTCTTGGAAGTGTGCTGCTGCCTACGGTCTGGCACCTTGTTGCTACCTTTTCATATAGTCCAACCTCGCCTGCACGCTGTGCCCAGGAACGTCCCAAACACAGCAAAATAGGAGGAAAATAGGGCCGATCCAAAGGCTTTGAAGCTTCAAAGTTTCAAATGTTGGTAATCAATGTCCAAATCAGTATTTAAATGCTACAAATGGTCCATAAATTAAGAAACAATTATCCAGCATTATTTATTCACCATCTACATAAATTATTATTAGTAATTCTCAGACAAGGACATTTAAAGTTAGTGACAGTTTTGTGACTCCGACTTGCTCTCATCTAACGTCAGTCACAGTCGGTCCTGCACTACTGAAACTGGAAAATGTTTGACCACAGATGACAAGATGTTGCAAGTCTTGAAAAGTATTCTTCTTTATTCTAGCTATTATAGCTAATGTACGACCTGCATGCTAACACAGTGGCTAACTGTCACGTCATTTTTGCTGCACTGACTAAAAACCGATGATTCCAGCTTTGAGCTTGAGTATTGAGATATTTCTCACTGACACATCCATCCCCAAAAATTGGAAGTCAGGACAGCCTGAGAAGGAACAAAAAGAAGAAGAAAGTAATGTTTATACTGTTCCTTATTTTCCAGTGGCTCCTGGTGTAAACTGATCTGAAACATAAAACATAAAGAAAAATCACACACTCACAGCTTTAAAATCTGGCTTATTAACACATTTTATCTTGTCCCTCTTTCACCCATGTCCTGTCTCTCATCACTGTTTATAGTCTTTCATTTGCAGATTTTTTAAAGTCAGTATTTCTCGTGCTCTGACAGCCTGCTTGTTTTCCTTTGACTCAGGAGGACGTCCAGCTGATCATCCAACAGCAGCTTCAGATGCAGCAGCAGGCGGAGCAGGCCCAGAAGAAGCCCTCCCGCCTGGGAATCCTGAGGAGAAACAACAAGCCCCCCATCCAGCGGCCAACCAACTTCCCTTTGTCTGTGCCCATCCCACCCACTACCAACTCCAACCAAATCTTCGTCCCCAGATCTGCGGGTTCTGCTTCTCCGGCTCCCAGCACGCCTCCTTCCTCTCAACGCAACTGGAGGGACAGGCTGAGGAGGACCAAGAACAGTCATCCAGGAGACCAGGATGCAGCAGGGCAGGAGTCAGAAGGCAGGGTTGACGACGGCTTCCAGGTTGTTTCACTCGATTAAAACACTGATAACTTTGCACTGAGTGCATTCATCCTGATGCACAAGGCTCATTTAAAGTCGCCCTAGAGTGAAAACTGTGTTTGCCTATTGTCACTTTGTGGTTTGACCACATGATGTGTGTGCAGAGTTGGACACTAAAAGGCTGTTTGCAACCTGGACCTGGAAGTTTCTAAGAACCAGCCACGATATGAGCTGGTTGAATTCTCTAAACGCTAAGGGAAGGAGCTTTAACGCTTCCTTTTTTTTTTTTAAACCTCCTTTAACTTAGGATACACTGGACCTTCCTTTACGAAATGAAAAAAGATAATGCAGCCCCACCATTCCTTCCTTGCATAATTTAAAGCGACGCACCATTTGGCCGTTGACAAAAACAACACTAACAGGGATTCATGTCGGTAAACATGAGTGGACAGGAGGGTGAGCATGAGAAACCCTTCTTAACGTGACAACCGTTTTGTTTGACTTTTGTGACTGTGGCCTGTATTCCTTTTTTTATTTCAGTTCCGGCCTTGGAGATGAAATGATATTTTTCACCGGTTTGTCCGTTTTTATACAGCCAGCATGAAACAACATCATAATAACACACAGGGCGCAGTATCTAAGATGCACATTAAGGGTGTTATCAATCTTGGTCCTTTTCAGCCCTCTAAGTGGACTCAGAGCAGTGACTCAGCATTTTTTGCGCATATGAGAACTCAGACCCCTCTGACTATTCGAATGGACTTTTCAGTGATTTAGGAGGCATCGTGAGTCCAGCAGTTAAACCTCTGAAATGAACAATTTTTTTTACATAATCTGGATTTTCTCAATGAGGGCGGAGTCGATGTCATCTTAAGAAGTTTAAACAAGCTAAAATTATATCAGACAAATTATCATTCCAAGCACAGTATTTTTCTTAAAACACATCTGAAAGGGATCTTTTGTGTATTAGTGGGAAAACATGCTTTGGATCTTTAAAGTTATGAAGCATAACTGTGATTGTGAATGAGCCATGTGATTGTTTAATACTGTAACACTTGAATGCCTTACATTTAATCTCTTGAATACTGTTGTAAATAAATAAAATTCTTACGGAAGTGCTCCGTCAGACCCCTTACAAAGTCAGACTGCAGTCTGTTTGTCACTACATCACTTTAGCTTCTTTACCATCTGCACTTCTTGCATTTTCAATGTTCAAAAGAAAGATGACTAAACTTTGTTGCAGATCATTTTATTGTATAATATCAGTTTGTACATTTTCAATAATATATAATCCACTCCTATATGCTTCTTGCCCACATTTAAAATTTATATATGCCATTATCTAGAATGAGTGCCACCATTGTGGCAGCATATTCAACAAACTGAGATGTATATAGCACAGCAAACTTACACCTGATGACAAGAGAAAAGGCATGCTCATAGTAAAACAATATACAATCATGAACAGATGATTAGTCTTCAAACAGCTTTTCAGTGACTACATTTACATGCACGCTAATACACCATTATCATTTCAAATAGGACAATATTCCAGATTTTAAGGGGGTGACGTAAACAGGATATTCTGTGTGGACATTCTGAATTAGGTCTTATTGAGAATGTACCATTTTTCGATTAGGATGTGCGATATTATTCGGGATCTAATCGCAATATTGGGGCATGTATAGCGCATTCAGAAAAGGTTTTTACCACAGTTTGCTCTGTGGATACGGCGTACACAAACCAACTTGCCAACAGTTTGCAAGGCTGTGGAGTAAAGATGCATGGCCAAGAGAAAAGCCTACAATTCTGGTCAAAAGGAGAAACATTATGAAAGATCTGGGTATCAACAAATATCAAAAATATCTCAACACCAACCTTTTCAAAAAGGTGGTTAAAGAAATGAAAGAGAGAGGCTGTGTTTGCACGGTTGAACAAGTCCACCACCAGTGGAGAACTTTAAAAAATAAAAGACATGTTAGGGCACGTTGATCGGAGTGCGCACGGCTGCATGTAAACAGGAATATTAGTGAGATAGTCATTTTCATCATCCATGTCAACGGCTTAGTAGGAATACTGTCTTTTTCAGAAAGCTGGAACGATACATGCATGTAAATGTAGTCAGTGTGACTGAATAAATTCACTCTCCTATATTGTTGACAGAGTTCCCCTTTTTGATAGACTCTTGTCCCACTGCAACACCACAGAAGCTGAAGCAGGGCCTGCATTCAAACGTCAGCGACCACAACAATTTATTCCTATGTGCAACAAGACAAATCTGTCCTGTTTTTCTTTTTCTTTTTTTTGAGGACGAGGATACACGTCTTCACTAACCGGAACTTTAGAAAAAGAATAAAATAAGTAGAGTTTCACTCAACTTAAGTCTGATAATTTAAAGTGTTTTAGACTTCTGTATTCACGTCAAACGAACATAAAACACTGATTGTTGTAAACATCTAGTGCCATGAAGGGATACACCCTCATCTGCGAAGCTTCCTTGTGAGAAAATTCACACAAAACTGGCAACCCAGCTGCCAATCTAAAGTCTGCTAGTTATTATTGTAGAATAAAAGTTTTTTGTTTCTTTTTCTATCAAGTTTTACAGAAATGGAAAAGGAGCTCTTGACAAAAGAGGCACACGTTTACAACACCCTGCTTATTCATACAGATGGCAGTTTCACTACTGGACAGTACTGCTCAAACCCATGGTAACAGAAATGATAACACTAGTACGATTAGATAACGACATACATACATTGCAGCATATATTTATGAGATACCCATATAGCTTTGCGCCTTAGTTGTAAAGATAAGTTATAGGGGATAATAAATCGGTAAAACATGTTTCATCAAAACACTGATTGAACTGACCAAATACAAAGACACAACAACATTACCACGGCTTATTGCCAGACAGACAGAATAGTATAAGTGTTGAGTAATTAGCATATCCACTTGTAACCTGAGATATTCAGGAAACAGATTGTGACAATACTGCATTTGAGTTTTTCAGCTCGGTTTTCGATTATGATTATGTTGGCATAAAAATATAACTAGCGCTCTCAATGACCTCGAGTTGTGACAAAGTCACTGACCTGTAAATCCTCATCTCTGACATACAGCGGATACACAGAGGAGAGGAGATGAGAAATTAAGTTCCAAATCAAAATATTCAATATATCACTATCAACATCAAAATATGTTTCTACAACAAACCATCTGTACACACAGAGTCAGCATTAATGCCTCCTGGCAGAGCTCAAACCTCCTGAAACGGCACCAAACTCCCTTGGGCAAAGAGTCAACTTTAGTTTTGCACATTCTTCACTCAGCTTCTCAGATATACAGTATTTGTTTCATTCCAGTGCTGTCACGACTTTCACATCTGAACATCCTACTGCTGGTCCACTTCATCAGTCCCAGATTGTACTTGGCCTAAAGCCACGTTTCTATCATACTGGCATAAATGTTTAATCATAAAGAAAGCACTGTGCAAATGAGAGTTTCTTTGGATTAGTACATCACCTCCAAAACAGCCCCGTTAAGTTATATATTGTCGACCTACTGAGCTAAAAATCAATGAAAACACATCTAGAAACCAGCCAATCTAGTAACACTACCTGTCTGGCAGAGATACCTAGACAAAAGAAAAGTTCACCTACGCTACACTACACTAATATCTTTAAAAGGTAAGGACTGCTCTAAAAGGGTGAGTTTGGTCCAGTGTTGGGAATTATTAGCATCATTAATGGCTCCATTCACTCTTGCTGAAGCTGCTGAATACTAACCGTCATTTCCAGTGAGGGCACGCTCAGGGGTGCTGAGCGTTAAAAAAGTTCTGAGGCGTCGGCAGGAGGCAGCTAGGACTGGAGGAAGGAGATGATGGAGCTGATGAAATCTAAGGGTTTATCTGCGTGGATCCAGTGGCTCGCATCTGGGATGTACTGGATGTCAGCATAAGGGAACAGCCTCTGGATTTCGGGGTAATCCTCAGAGCTGGATCAGGAATGAAGACACAGAGAAGGATGGATTAAATTATCAGGTTAAACAGGGTGGTGTGAGGGCGAAGGAGATGAAAGGAAGATGAACAGATAACGGTAAAAAAGCCAATTAATATCTAGAACACTGCTGGTGTGTTCACTCATTCGGTTACCACTGAATAAATGTAAATGAAAAGTGACTAATCATGTTATCAGGGGTGTTGTGGAGGCTTTTCTTAAGATTTTAGCTGGTTAAATTGTACATTTACTGTCATTTGGGTTTTCTATTTATTATATATAAATGCAGCATATATTTATTGGGTGCAGCCTATCTATCTATCTATCTATCTATCTCTTTTATATCATATATATAATGTCATTATTCTGCTCTTATGTATCTGTTGCTATAGAACAATGTACAGTTTGTGTCTGAGGTGTTTTAAACCTGATATAAGCAGAACTGGCTCCACCCAAAAACAGCGTGGGTCCGTCATAGGAGTTGTCAAAGTTGGGGAAGCTCATGATTTCATCAAGGTGCGCTGAGATGGCCTCCAGGTTGACCCTCCAGGCATAGTGGCCGTTCTGCTCCACCAGGTTAGTCAGCAGGAACTGACGCACCGAGCGCTCCTGAGGGTGGGACAGACACTTTCAGACTGATTTAAAAACAGACTAATTTTTAGGGTCAGAGTTTGACTTTAAAGCAGCTACAATCAATATTCTTACATTAACAATGGATCACATGAATGCTTAAACCCTGTTTACACCTGGTATTTACATGCATCTTGGGTGATTCCATCACAAGTCCGTCTGTTCATGCCTGGCATTAGAATGCGTATCCATGTGACTGGATCTCACTTCCCCGCTCCGTATGCAAATAAACACATGAATCACTTCTGTTTGCAAAGACCAAATACACGGTTGTTGTTTTTAAGCCGTGGTAGGTTTGTTGTGCTCTATGCACACTTACAGCCTTTACCATTTATAAGGAGTAAAATCTTAAAGGTTCGGTGTGGAATTTAGGGGGATATATTTGAGTAAGAGTCAGTGTGTTTTTGTTACCTTAAAATGAGCAGTTTACATCTACAAAGGGAACGCGTCCTTGTCTATGGAGATTGCCATGTTGCACTGCCATGCTTCTACAACAGCCCAGAACGGACAAACCAAACACTGGCTCCAGACAGGGCCATTTATGTCTGTCACCGTAGCTAGCAGCCCCTCTCTGATGAGCCGCATCAGAAAAACAGGGTTGGTTTGTTACAGAGAGGTAGAGACCTCTACAAACAATCCAGCTCCCAGTAAAAACCTCCTGAACATCTGGATCTTAAGTTATCAGAGAAAAAAGGTGAGAACACATTAGCAGGTGGTAGGTTAGCAGCCTTTATCCAACATGCTGACATCATTTGAGATGAACTGCGTCTTACCTGGGAAGTGGAAGAAAGCAGGTGGCAGCAGCAGGGGGTGGTGACAAAGAGCCACGGCCACCTCCGAATGTGGTCTGAGCAGTTGGATCTCGAGACACATTGAGGACGCATTTGGTGCATTCACACCTGTACTTGGAGATGTCTACTTATGATCCAACACCAAGGACGCATGTTAAAACCAGGTGTAAACAGGGCCTTACAGGTGAGGGGTGTTGCTTGTACTGATGAGGCCAAAGAGAATTATCACCTGCCTCTGCACAGTGTCTCTCAGCCTACATCTCATTAATTTGGTTCACAGCACACAACTCCACTGTTTTGATTCACTCTTACTGCGCTCCTAGGGTCATTTTCAGCCACAGCAGGCAGCTGTATTCATAAAAACAAGCTCTAACAACTGGCTGTACAGTACTTGCTTACCACCAAACAGCTGACAGACACAATTAGAGACGAGCTGATGCACCAAGTTCGACAATTAACGGCTAATGAGATAGACATTTCCCTCAGGAGCTGGTATAGACCAAAAGCAGAGCTAAAGGGAGAGTGAATATTGGACTTACATTTATCAGGTGGCCACAAAAACGACTCTGCTGAATGCTAATATCATTCTGAATCTCCAGGATGTGTACAGAGACAACTGGTTCGACATATCAACTTTCACATCTGATATCTAACTATATACTATTTCAGACAGTGAAAAGCGTGAAATCAAAAAGGAGTCCTGACCTTGACCAAAGAGCGCAGCTGATCCTCAGCCATCCGCCTGGCAGTGGAACGTGGGATGTCACTGGAGATCTTCATGTCCTGCATGGCCTGGATGTAATTGCGGAAGTTGGTGCGTGTGGTGGTCTGGGCTGGACTGATGTCCACTACCACCAGCCTCTCCACTAAACTAGACTACAAACAGACACAGATAGGTTGTGGTAAACAAATGGGACAAGAGGTGACAATGGGGGCAAACCAATAACAAAATGAAAACAGGACAGCGGGGTGTGGCATGAAGAGCAGAGGAGGGTTATTAGGTTCAGAGAGGATGAAAATGTACAGTCAGAAAGGTCAGGTGGCATCCAGCAAGAGGACCGTAGCGTCACCATTATTTCATGGTGACATGTATCGGCTGCTAACCTGCGTCAGGGCAGTCGTCATGGCCGTTTTCCCTCCCATGCTGTGGCCGATAAGGATGCACTTCTCAATGCGCAGTTTGGTGAGAAGGTGTTTCAAATCATTAGCCATCGCTTCATAGGTCAGCTCCGGGCTGTGAGGGCTGGTGCCATGGTTACGGGCATCTACAGTCAGCACCTAACTGGACAAAGGACAGTTAGGACACTTGGAATGGTGGGAAAGCACCAACAGAGCGGAAACAAAAACACTTTTATATCAGCTGCATCGTTTTTTTTGGCCCCAGCTCAGGATAGTGACAGCACAAACAGAGGCTGTATTGTGCACACGAGGTGATGAGTGTCTTTAAGTAAGCCAAAGAGCAGATTATCTATCAGTATTTATTACAATAGCACAGACTGCTGGGGAGTTGTATCAAATGACTGACAGCACACTGGTTGATTGTGCATTCCCATGCCTGCTTTTGTATGAGGTCTAGTGTCAGGCTGCTGGGAACAAACTCAAACACATAACAGTGAACTGTTTTTGGTGTAACGACAGACAGGTGTGATGTTTTCATCGCTGCATTACCTTTCGACCTGTGCGCTGCACCAAGGACTTCGCTATTGAGTGGAAGTTAGATTTGCTGCCAAAGAGGCCGTGGAGAAACACCAGGGGAGTGCTCTCTCCCTTCCCGTCAAAGACATCATAGGTCAAGCTGACTGGCTGGCTGAGGAAAAAAAAAACCATCCATGTTGACGAGTTAGTATCCGGTGATGAGAATTGTGTCACAACGACAAGAACAGTGATACATCTACGTAATAAAACTCTGCAAACTGATTAAACTGTCAGGGAGTGGGACTGATGCTTCGACTAGGTAAAGAAAAAATTGCAGAGATTCCTGTATTCACTCCTTTAAACAGGATATCGGGATATTGAGGCAGCAGTGGCAGCATTGGTCAATGATTTGTGACATATTTGATTGAAAATGTTTTGCTTCCATCTACTGGTACAACATTAGGTAACCATACATGTACAGATACATTACTTTTTAAAAAGTTTATGTAATCTTTTATATGAAAACATATTACCTGACATGAATGTGTACATCAGAGAAGTCACTTTAAATTCAAATGTGCCACTGCAGATGTTAAACCAAAAGAAAACAGGGGGAAGACACAGCTATGTGACCACCTACTTAATAATGCAATACAATATTTGAGTTTTATAAAAAGGTGCTGACTCAACTGTATTAGGGTTGTGATTTACGGTTGTGTTTTATTTATTCAGCCTATAAAATGTGACAAAATCGTGAAAAGTGGACATTTCAATGTCCCAGAGCCTGAGGTGACATCGTCAGATGACATATGTTGTTCAACCAGAAGCCCAAAAACCCAGAGATAATCAATTTGCAACAACATAAACCAGAAAAAGCACATAAAATATTCATATTAGAGAAGCAGGAACCGGCAAACACTTGGCCAACTGCTTGATAGATTACTTCAATGACTAATCTGCTGTCAACATTTTGTTGCCTGATGATCAACTAACTGATTAATCAGCTAATCCCTTCAGGACAAAACTCTATGATGATTTCATGGGCCCTGTTGTGTGTATTTAATCCTCATCTCTTAGAAAAAATTGAACTGTACTCTTCACAGATCCAGAACTTGACTGTAATATATTAGATTGCGTTAGCTACACCCCAGTACACCTGGTTAGATCTAATGCAGTCTGGTGCAACAGCTCTGCAATAAATCAGAGAGGTGTTTTACTATCGATAGAAATGGGCTGGACAAAATATCAAACACTCAGTCTAAGCAATATTGCAGACAATAAGTTGAAACAATCCCTCTCCAAGGCAGCTTTCACAAAAACAGAACAGTGTGACATTCATAAATGTAAGGTTTAATAAAGGGGGTGTGGTGTTAGGCTGCATTCATTTTAGCTAGGCTTACCTAATAAACTGGTGGCTTAGCGATTATGTAGCACAACATATCATCTATTACTGTACACAGTATTAACTATCATCGTTTTGTGTCGCTACATAAGCTAAATAAAGCAACAGACAGAGCGTCTGTAAATAAAATCCTGTGTGACAATAGCTCAGCTGGAGGTTAACCTTCTTGCTAACCAGTCGACTGAATGTCATTTATATAAACTGTGTAAAGTTAACGGTTAATGACGACACGAAGACACGACACGGTGACAAATTCCAACGGTTAAATAACGAAAATTTTTTAAAAAAGAGAAACGTTAGGCTGTCATGTCCCCCCAGCAAAACCAGCACCACCACGCCACAGCTCAGGCAGAGAGAGGGCATCAGTTAGCCGGGGAGCTAGCAGGGATACCTGGATGAGCAGGCTGATCGGACCATGGGAGCCACCCCGCAAACATCCTGCTGTCCGGGGAATAAACGACACAACGGCCGGCTGCTCAGCAGTCCTCTATGGATATAGCGACACAAAGCACTCATGGCAGCATATGCTCCGTTACCGGGTGGTCTACAAACAGCATGTGCGTTTAAAAACGGCCACAATGACAGCAGGGACTCGGTGAGTGTGCGTGCACAGAGTCCCGGAGGTCGAGATTGAAAGGAGCCCCTGTCAACAGCTGAGCCGCTGCGTCATGACGTAGCACGCACCGGTGATTAGCGTGTGTTCCTTTCCCTGAGCGTGGTCTCGCAGGCTAAGGAGCAGCGCTGTCTCTTTAAAGTAAATATCCAGATTGAAATGAACATAAATAATGTTTTGTTTAACACTACAGAGCAGTCTTTAATCTTAGGGTAGCCTAAATATTTGCACTCATCTTGATTAAATGTCTTTATTAAAGGAAAAACACAGTAAATTATAATGCCATATAAATTTTGCAAGGCGGACTGCACTACATTATCCCTTTCATGCATAGTGGTCACTACAGTGCACAGCTATTTAAAAGCCATTCTCTTGTATATGCATGGGTTTTGATCCTGTAGTTGCATTTAGTCACTAGAGTAGACCCTTGTGCATCATGCTATACACTGCCACCCATTGGCCAGGTGGTGTTAGTGCAACACAAATCTCTTAAAACCAAGATGGCCGACAGAATGCAAGAAATGTTGTGCAGCTCAAGAATATCTTGCCAATCTTTCTATAACAGCAGACCCTGGTGGGTAAATAAAATCCGGAAAAATCAAGTAACATCTAAAGAGTAATACTGTTGCTAAATTTCCCAAGTATTCACTTTATGTTGTGAGGAAACTACAATTAATCATCTGTCCACTGAATTGGACATCATGCATTGCTGGCTATATTTCCACTACAAATAATAGTATTACTGCAGCTTTGTTGTTCTTAAAATGCTTCATTGGCAGTGATTTTCAAAGCTGTAAATCAATTGATTTATGTTAGTAGAATGTAATTTACAGTTTTTGTAACAGAAACAATATTTTGACAGTATTTTTTGGTGATTTTTGCAGAAAATGTTCATAGAAAAAATGATAAAGTTCACTAGAGGGAGGCATGAAGAGGATGGAGCTGAAAGAGGGAGGTAGGTACAGGAGGGAGGAGTAGAAAGAGAGAGGGGAGACACTTAGGAGTCAGGAGAAGAGTTCAGCGCTTTTGCATGGCATTGAACAGTATATGAACATGTTAAAATATGTGAACACATTAGTTTAACACCATTAAAAATAAATTTTTTATAGATTCACATAATATACATCATTTTTTAAACTGGTTTGTATTTCTTCAGTTGAAAACTTAAATACATGCTGCCCAACCAAGTGGACATGTGAAAAACTCTTTAAAAAATGCATGTTTAAAAAAACATAACTTCATAATTTTTTCATGTCTAAAGAGGAATAAAACACTCAAGAAAAGAAAACCTTGACTGAGGTCCTAATAATTCATGCATGGAAGGGTTAAGGTTACCCCTCAAGGTTAACAGGTGAAACAATAAGCTGAATTTATATGTCATATCTCTGACTTTGTTTGATTAAGCCTATGTTGATTTAAATCGACCCTGAAGTTGTTTACTTTTCTTGATTTCACACGTCTATGTGGATTTGTTTCTTTTGAAACCTTTTCCCCACTTTTTTCCTCATTAATGTGCTGTTCAAAAAGACTATAGTCTAAAGAAAAATTGAGCTGATGCTTACTGTCTGGATGCTCAGCTTCATTACAAAGTAAAGACCACAGTACTTAAGGCTGCAAGATCAGCAAAATCTGTTCATTTTCAAGTCAAATGAAAGAACAAACTTAAGTTTAAAACTGTCACTGACAATCTCTGTCTATCTTGACACAAATTTAGTTCCATATTCAGTCCTTTAACAGTCCAGGTTCATTTTTAGTACTTTATTTATAGAGATTTTCCTTTAACATACAAGACATGAGCTTAAGTTGCAGTTATATGCAAAAAAAAAAAAAAAAAAACAAGGATACTGGAGACTAACAACAACCGAAACAAAGAGAAAAAATAAAATAAATATTAGTAGTAGTAGTAGTAATTATTATTAATGATAATTATAATAATAAACTTTATTTATATAACACCTTTCATACAAGAAATGCAGCACAAAATCTTCACATGAAAATACACATAATGGACATAAAACAGACAAAACAATTCAGAAGGACATTTAAAACTATTTAAAACATGGATTAACTGATTCATAAAATCATAGAGTTGTAAATCTGTAAATCAACATTATAAAACCCACTGTTCCTCTCTTAAATGTATTCACTTTGCGTTTGGACACAAGGAGGAAGGAAAAGCAGCACCTAGAATTAAATAAATACGCATTGTTTTGTGCAGTCACTAGGTGGCGCCACAGGGATACGGCTACACCCTCTCACACCTAACAAATGATTTCCTTACTGCACTGAATAAACAGAGCTGCTCATACTGTGAGAACAGCTGGCAATAAACGATCAGGTCACCCATTGTCTCAGAGAGGACACACTGTGGGGATCAGATCTGTGATTGTTTTGATGTTTGGCTGGAGCCGTCACCAGGCTGCTCTGTCATTTTAGAAAAGGTCAAACACCATGTGTTATGTTGGGGACCACTGCTACATTGTGTTTTGCACTGCACAACAAGAAAGTTTGTAGTGTGTTGAATATTTTTATTTTTGTGGTGTTCTCATGTGCGTGGCTCCTGTCATGTACAGGAACATAAAAACAAACGGAGAACCTGGCCTCCAATGGTGGGACTCCAAACATTCATTGCTATGGGAGACGTGTCTGCTGGGATCAAGCATGCTGGGAGCTGTCACCATAGTGATGGCTTCAGACAGAGGCCGGGAGGGGGAGGAAACGATACAGACCCAACCGAGTGAAGAAAAGGGAATCCATGGATGAGAGAGCATTTTTTATTCTATTCAACATTGTGTCACAACTCCAGTTTTCCTTAAATTGAACACTGCCAGCAAGAAGTTTGTGGTGCTAGAAGACTTTTTTCAGCATCTTCAGTGATGCAGTTATTTGAAATGCTGTCTTTAATCAAATAATTCAAGTTATTCTAAGGGATATTGTATTGGCAGCCTGTTGGAAAATTGCAGCACAATAGCATATTTAGAGTTTATTCACACCATTAAAGGATCTACAGTAAGATAAATCCAATATAGCTACCGGTATCCGTTTACAACTACATTGAAAATACATGCAGGGAAAGAGGGAGGCCAATTGGTTAAAATAAACTGTCCTAATAAGACAAAAATAATAATCTGAGATTCAGTAACCATTGGTCAAATGAACCTGAGACTGCTTAAAGCCAGAATATGGAACTAAATTTGTGTCAAGATAGACAGAGATTGTCGGTGACAGTTTTAAACTTAAGTTTGCTCTTTCATTTGACTCCAGAATGAACAGATTTTGCTGAGCTTGCAGCCTTGAGTACTGTGGTCTTTACTGTGTAATGAAGCCGAGCGTCCAGACAGTAAACGTCAGCTCCTCTTCATGCTACACAGACCACAGCAAACAAAGTCTTTGTTCTCAACCTGCTCTTTTCAAAGTGGATGCACATGAAGGATTTTTGGCAAACGTGTCATTGCTCTTCCTACATGGTATCTTGTCTGTTTTGAACTTAAATGTTGACATAAAACTTAAACCACTATTTTCATAGAGTCATCATTTAAGTTGGTGATGCTCTTATAGCTGACCTGCTTAAACTGTCCCCACACATTTCATTTTATCTTTTATTAGGATATTGGACAAAGTTAATATTTATTAACTTAACATTAAGAAAAGAAGGCTTCTCTTCATTTGTTCACCCGGTAAAATGTTAACCCTTTGAAACGTGAGCACCTTGGCTTGATTTCTTTCAAAAACATAGGAAAAAGGCAGTGAGCAACTCAACAGGAAATGACCCAGAATTAGCAAAAATTTAGTAAAAAGTTACAAATAAATTACCAGAAAATTAACAAGAAAACGAAATAAAAAAGCAACAATGGGCTAAACAAATAAATTACCTGAAAATTAGCAATAAAAGTAACAAAAAAAAAACAAACAAACAATAAATGGGAAAATGACCTGAAAAAGGGCTAAAATGGAAAAATACAGTCATATCTATTTTATTCCATAACATAAGTTTGAATATAAAATCATATTAATCATAAATATAGTTTTCTGGACATTCATTCAGTCATTCATTTTATTCTTCTAACTGCATAGCTTGGTTTTCTGGACATTTTTCCCTATTTTTTAAGAATCATTTTCTATGAATTTTCTGTCTTTATGTATTTTTATAGCTGATTTTCACTTTATTTTCTTGTCAGCTTTTATCTTTTTCTTGCTAATATTTTCCAAGCAAAACAAAACAACAACAACAAATCAGAACGGTTCATTCAGGTTTCAAAGGTTTAAACAGCACCCTGAAAATAAAATAAAATGACATATTTTACTTAAAGATTAATATCTAACAATATATCTACAAAACATACTATAGTACACTCTTAGCAATGATGCCACAGTATAACACATTTGGTTTTTAAGCCACAATCCAATCTGAGTTATCACAAAGGAGGAAAAACATACAAGGAAAGTAACAGCGAGGGATCGTATGTGGGACATTTATTTAATGACCAGTATACTCTGAGCTGCACTATGAAATCATAAATTGTGTTTCAGCTGAAGACCTCTGCAAAGATAAGTCACCAGACTGTCACATAAACCAAAATGTTATTGATGTCCCGATCTGCTGCCTCCACTGACAGGCCTCAGTGTGTGACAACTTGTGTGCAGACTGCTGTCCCACAAATGTTCAGTCTTTTACACCAAACTGAAGATCACAGAAGTTGCTTTAATAAATGTACAGGATCATTACATGAGCCAACCCACAAGTGTTTTTTAAATCTATGAATGTCCTGTCTGTTGATGAACAAAACAAAAGATCTTCACTTCTGCTTCACTCTAACTTCTGCTTTCACATGTGCACTGTGACAGCTTCAGTGTCCATATCACCTTTATCAACCTTTGACCACTTTGTTTTCATTTAATAGGCTATGGAGAATATTCAGCAGGTTTCAAAAGGGCCCAAATAATAATATTAAATGGTGATAAATATTAAAATATTTATAATAAAAGCCAACTCTGCCTTAGTGTATGAATTTGTCCTACTGTTTTAACAAAGTGCCAAAGTCAGTGGCACTGTTTCTTTATATATGGAGCAGTTTTTAATTTTGTGTTTTTTATGTATTTTGTCTTTTGAAAGTAAAATAAATTATAAAAAGAATTTAAGACAGACACTTTCCTGGAAAGCTCTGTCTCGGAGAGGATTTGTCCTGATATTAAAAGCGGTATTTATTGTTTATCCACGTTATGACATAAATGGTGATACTAGAATATTTCCGTCCAATTAGTTGCTATTTTAGTCTTTCACAACAGCTCCAATTTATCAGTATTTACAGATATAAATAGTTTGACGACTCATTAACTCATAAAAGACAGCTCAAAGCTCCCTGATAAGAGTTGCAGGATTATCAGGACACTCTGGGAGAGGAGAGGAATGTTCTGATTTCAAGGAAAACGTCAGTGCACAACAGCCATCTCTTAAAAGTAAGGGGGTAGGTAAACTCGCTGTCGACATATTAATACCACCAGCAAAACAACCGCATGACACAGCTGGAAAGAACAAAGCTCTGATTGTTGTGGTGCCTCATTTTCTCAGATAAATTATTATATTGTTTAAAAAAAATTAAATATGTGGAGGCTCTGGTCATGTTCATGTTTTTGACTCTGATGTTGGAATATTACTGAATTGCACTGCGGTTCTTTAAGTAACTAATTTAAAAGTTTCTTAAATTATTTTTTATGGAATTACTGAAGTTTTGACTCTGATGGACAACAGCATGAGCCAACATGCTACTTCCAAATAACCAGAGTGATCTGTGTCTTCTTACAAACACAAAATAGAGAGTCTAGAAAAGTAACCTAATATCTTCCTGAGACCCAACTTTGTTTGATATGCAATTTTAATTTCTCCCGGCTGTTTGGATCAGCAATCAATCAACAATATTTAAGTCCCAGTGTCCTCAAACAAGACAACAATAAAGTCCCATAGTCTTCAAATTAGTACTTCCTAATTAACAGCATCTTAGCTTGTTACTCTTGCTAGAATTGGCCAAATTTGTCGCCATTTTGAACTACAAACATTATTAATCATAAATAAACAAGTTTCAACCATAAAATGTGATCAGGTTTTGGACCTTGTCCACATTTGTGTCGGGATCAGCGGCAGACTGACTTGGCAGAGATGGCTGCCATCTTGTTTTTGCATGGATTAGTGTATTGTGCTCTTACTGCCACTTGATGGCACAAATAAGAACGAGGACAACAGGTCTAAGTTCCGCAGAATGAAGTATAAGGTCAGGTAAACCCAAAATGTGATGTTCTTATATGAAGACACAGGGTCTCAGGAGGATACGTAATCAATAAATAGGTAGACTGTACTGTGTTTTTGCTTATCGTGTTAATTTACCTATCTTATATCTTGCATTTTGTGTGGTAGCACTGCCTAATCACATCTCACCTGCAGAATGACAGTAACAATTATACACCGTGTGTTACACTGAATTCATGAAGAAAACTGAAGTTTTCTCACATGCCTCCATAGTGAACGGAGAATACGAAAAAAGGCAGAAATTTCTCGTGAATTGAAGTGAAAGGGGGCTGCATTTAATGACAGCAAAACTACATCAAAAAATCTGAATAATTTGCACAAATATCTGTTTGCAAACTCTCACACAACTCGCGCAGTGTAATCCAAGTCTCATTTATCATGCGTTTTCACTAAAACATTTTTTTAAAGCGTATCAGTGCAAAAAGACTGATGCACAGCCAGTGCCATAACAGAAACACGTGAGGCCGAGTGAGCCACACTACTTTATGGGCATGTGTACAGCTGAGTAGTGTTCCTGTGCTCATATCCACACCAAGTCCAGGCACGTTACTCGGCATGCTACTCTGAGGCGAAAGTGTTTTATATTGGAATGGTTTAGCTAAAATGCATGTGTTTTAGAAGCACTGAGCATAGGACTGGATAAATTAGACTTGGATTACTCTGCGCGAGTTGTGTGAGAGTTTGTAAACAGATGTTTTGATATAGTTTTGCTGTTGTCAAATATGGTCCCCATTGACTTCAATTCATGGACAATATTTGCCTTTTTTGGATTCCCCATTCACTCTGGAAGCATACAAGAAAAACAAAGTTTTCTTCACAAATTCAAGGTAACACACGATGAGTAACTGGTATACATTTTGCAGGTGAGGTATTCTTTATGTAATGACTGATAATTATCTAAAATACAACAGTTTTGTTGACACATGCCTGAGGAAGTGTTTGCAACAGAGTTTATCTGCTTTACACAACTTTACAGTCCATCAGTCAGTGAGGTTAAAAAAATCAGTGATAACCTGAGCTAATGAGAGAGCTAGAGCCTCTATCAGGTGCTTGTTGGACTTTGCCGTTCAGTCATCATCTTGTTTTTGAGAAATCTGCTACCTGTCAACTTCACGTGTTCCTGCTGGAAAGAGAAGTTGACATTCAGATGTTCAAACATCAGTGGACTCAAAAAGAGCAATGGCCTTTATTCTCTAGTCACAGCACTGTTTTGACCTTTTCTTTTTGTGTTTCTGCCCTGTCATGCAAATTCAGTTCTCACTTTGTTAACGTCACAGTGTACAAAATCAGATGCTCACTGATTAACTTCACATTAAGACCCTCCAGTGCAGTGATAATAATGATTAATTTAATTGGTTTATTTCTTCTTCTCCCTTTATATTAAATTATTTTAATGTTTGTGAAAGTTTATTAAAGGTACCCTATGTAGTTTTTGACCACTAGGAGCGCTGTGGAGCAATGTTTCTATTGTGCATGCACACAAGCATGCAGGCAATGTGATATTTGAATTTAGCTTACTAGTTTGTTGGCACTGATGTGCTACTGTACAATAAGTAGGGGTGTAATGATCGATCTGGATCGATTCGATGAACGTGAAAACATTGTTACATATCTATAAGACACGCCTTTATTTTGAAATTCCCATGACACGTCTGTGGCATGATTTTTGTTCGAGTGCACCTGATCTCTAAACATTTAAACAGTGCTAGCGACCTAGCAGCAGGCAGGCAATGGTGATGGTAGGCAGCCAAGATAAAGACAACGGGAATATTTGCTGATGTTGTGTTGAATCAAATCAAGTTGAATCGTGGCATTCTTTGTGATATCAGAAAATATCAAAGGTGTAACATGCATTTGTATTGAACTGTTCAGTACGAGGTGTTCGGTTCAATACGCATCACAAACTGAACAGTTCACTGAACTATCCCATTACATTTGAAAAGTAAATATACCGCTTAAATTGTGTCCAATCTTGTGTTCTCAGTGCAACTGCACTAAACGTGGCAGCCCACACGACGTTACAAGCAACATGCCGTCTGTCCCTTCCACCCCCAAACAGAAACACTCTGCTGCAGTGAGACACGCCTGGAGGCAGCTGTGCTAAGCTAGCTCACTGCAGTATGGTTCGTAACACCATTACCTGACAAGAAATAGAAGATCCTCTGATAACCTACAGGTCTGACGCTTGGAGCCACTTTGGTTTCAATGTGAATTATGACGACAATGTCGAGAGTTATGGATATAAACAGTATGTTGCATCTGGTACATGGTCAAAATGTACTGTGCCGTGACACCACTGTGTCGTATCAAACCAAACCATGAATTTTGTGATCTGTTACACCCCCAGGAATATCTTATTGTCGCCCAAATAATCAGTATAATATTGCATCCTGATAAAACTTATGATTTACACCCCAATAATAAATGTTGTAACTAATGACTATTTTCAGAATTGATTTGATCTTTGTTTCTTTTGTTAATTTATGGTTAAATAAAATTTATCAAAACAATGTTTGCTATTATTGCTGGATAAATGACTTAAACATTTTATCACTGGCTAAAACTGATGTCAGATCAAATTGTCTGTCAGTCACCTTGTTGTTTAGCACAACACACATGCCATGATCTGTGACTTTGTTGTGCTTTAGTCTACAGAGATTATACTGTGATTATACTGATAGAGGAATTTGCATCTCTGTCTTCTCCATAATGCATTTCTGCTTGAGTGACTGTTTTGTGCCAGCGTGCACTAATGAGTCCAGAGAGAAATTCTTTATTTGAGGAACTGAAAACTAAAACCTGATGTTTACCAGTTGTTTGTGTGGGTAAGGAACTACTTGACCTCTCAAAGACAAGAATACTGACAGGACAGTGAGTGTCACATTTTTCTGTTGATTTCCACTCACTGATCCACCTTGGTCATTGTCCTTTAAGATTACAGGTATAAAACCTGGAGCAGAGAACTGTTCAGTGTAGCAGGGATGTTACAAGGCTGATAAAGTACCTTTGGTTCTACTTTCTACAGATAAGGCTGTAAAATGTTGACTCAGTGGTGCAAAATCCTCACGGGACCCTGCATCATTTCCTGACTCAGCATAAGCATAGATAATATTGATACTGATCAGTCAGTTCAACCACATCTGTTGTCCTGTTGTACCTTGACCAACAGAGGTGCGACAAAATTATGCTTTAATTGATTATTCATATTTCTAACCTTCTGCTACACTCTGAGCCATCTAGACCTCTCAGGTCTTCTGGGACAGATCTGCTTTGTGTTCCTAAGGTCAAGACTAAACAGGAAGGAGCAGTATTTAGCTTTCATATGCCACATATCTGGAATAAACTCCCAGGAAAGTGCACGTCTGTCCCGCCTTTCACTTCTTTTAAATTGAGGTTGAAGACTTGTCTGTTTGTCGCTGCCTTTTATTAAATTAAATATTTATCCATTTCTTGCACTGCGTTGTATTTTTTTTATTATTCAAATACTTTTAGCGATTTTAACTGCACTGCAACTTTATTAAACTCCATTTTAAATCATCTTAAATTATTTTTTTGATCTTTTGACCTCGTCTGCTATTTTAATGGTGATTTTTTAAAAATTATAAATAATTTAGAATTGAATTTACCTTATATATCTTTTTTCTCTTTATTCTTTTATTGTAAATCTGTATCCTTTGTTATGTTTTTTTTTTATTGCTCTGTAAAGCACTTTGAATTGCCCTGGTGTGTGAAATGTGCTATACATGTAAAGCTGCCTTGATTTGCCCTCCATTCACACCATGAACGGATGCAGAAAAGGCACAGATTGGCACATAAAAAAATCACCAGAATGCAGGAAATTAAGAGTTTGATGCTCAACGATATCTGAGCATCAAACATTATTATATTTTCCAAAGCATTTGTTAAATGTTTTAGTGTTAAAAAGGAAATCTCTACTCTTGGATCTTGTAACCTTGTGTCAAAAGTGTTGGGACAATTGTTGGCAAAGTCTGTCTTAGTGTTAAAGCCTGTTAGTGTTAATATAGCCAACAGGCAAACATCTTTGACAGGTATGTGGCAGCCTAACGGTACCTGCCACACTTCAGCGTTATTTAGCTCTGGCTAAACAGAGAGATGAATTTAACTCAGATGTAACAGCTAAACAAAGAAACCCAACTCCCAAAGCCCAACCTGACTTTCAGCTTTTTGAACTATTTGATTTGGATGGAACCTTGTTTGTTTTGGAGGCACCACACTTTGTGGTGTGCCTCCTTTATTCTCATAGTGCTCTACAAAAGTGTTAAACCATCTTTCTTGTGCAAAAATGAAGAATAACAATCCAGCACATCATTCTTTATATGACTTTTATTGAAATCTTCAGCACATTATAAATTCAAGCATTGCTGTAAAACATTTAACAAAGCATTGCATGTCAGAAATCATCTCTTTTAACAATGTTTGAACAACACTTAAGTAAAAATAAAATTTGTTACATCTTGAACACAAAATCTTATTAAAAGGAGGGGAAGATAAATTTATAAAATGTTTCATTTGTACACACAAAACACATCCTGCTGATGTGGAAACAAACATCCTACAACAGCTGCAGTCATGTTCCCTCAGGCTGTCTCTCTCTCTTACACACACACACACACACACACACTGAAAATGTCCTTTGACTCTTTGTTTGATATACAAAGGACCATACATGCTGTTGCTTATGATAGATATAAGATACAAATCTAAGATCCAAAAACTAAAAAACACAATACAAATCTATTTAAAACACAGACACACAGTGGAATATATGGTGTTAGAATACATTACAAATACACTTTATTACATAAATATAAAATAAGCTCACACATATGGTGTGGGTGGCAACCGAAACAGTCTTTTATATGTCCAACAGTTAAACTGTGAGGAAGAAGATAGAGTTGTTTCCTGGGGCCGTATCATGGAGCCATCTTTAGTTTCAGTCTCAGCAGAAACTCTCCTAAGCAAATATTACATGCAAAACACACACACACACACACACACACACACACACACACACACACACACGGAACAATCACACAACCAAATCCATGTAAAATGAGAGCTGGCTTTTCCTTGTCATTGTCAGTGACACACAGTATTTTCTCTGAAAGTTTCAGTGAAACACGACACCAGCACGCCAACAGCTAATGGTAGAGCGACACAAAAGAAGCAGGTGTTTTCAGATTCACATAATGCCATAGACATAGTTTGGGTATAAATACAACATGTCCTTATAGCATTTAAAAAAAAAATCAAAGTTATGTTTTACAGGAAAACAGGCTCTAATGTTCATATAATGAAAATAGGAACCTTTTTTAACAAGACACACCTGCTGGATTATAGCAGAGCAAAGACATTATGATAATGCAAATGAACATGCCGGCTAAAAGCAAAGCAGAAAGATCAATATTTGTACAAACATCTTCATCTCGGAGTCTTTTTGTGGGATTCACCCTGTGGCTTCAGATAGCAAAATTCAACACAGACACACAGAAACACAAATGTGCAACAAACATTTTCATTTCATCCTACATTCCAAATCACTCTGTCGGAGACTTCTGTTCAAACATAGTCTTTCCTGTCGTATCCTGCACCTGCACTGGTGCTGCGTGGGGCAGAGTAGGCCATCCGGGGCGGCTTGTACTGCTTCTCTTTTGGCGGGCAGCTGCTGCACAGCATTGCCCCACCAATCAGAAGCAGGGCAGCTCCTGCCCAGCCGATGTAGAGAGCCGCTCCCAGCTCCCTCCTCTGCGCAGAGGTCAGGATGGGGTTGTAGAAATCCCTGATGACGACGCTGGCCGTCCAAGACACAGGAATGAGAACCAAAAGGCCGCCGAGGAGGAAGAAGATTCCAGCGATGATCATCACTTTGGCTTTGGCTGCCTCCTCATCGATGCAGTTGGTGCACTTGGCGCCGACAATGGAGATCATAACCCCCAGCACTCCGAGTATGATGGCGATGATCATCATGGCTCTGGAGGCCTGTAGCTCCTGAGGCAAGGCCAGTAGCGAGTCGTAGACCTTGCATTGCATCTGGCCCGTGCTCTGGGTGACACAGTTCATCCATAAACCTTCCCAGATGGTCTGAGCTGTGATGATGTTGGCTCCGACGAAGGCCGACACCCTCCACATTGGCAGGGCGCATGTCACTATTGCAATGATAAAACCAATGACTCCAAGGGCAATGCCCACGATCTCCATACCCATCGACATGTTGACTCTTTGTCTGATGACAGAACAAAACTTAAATGGTGAGTCCACGGATTTTCCAGCAAAACTATCAGATCACAATGAACACCTGCCTCTACTGTTCAGTCGTCCTTGAAAAGTGTGAGCACCTGGAAGGGTGTGATGTCGCTATGAGATGCTGCCACGGAAACATCTGATCCTTTATACCTCAGGGGAGTAAGGAGGAGTCCCCTGGTGATGATGTCAACAGGAGGCTGTCTTCACCTAAAAAAAAAAGCACCACCTGTTCACAGTTAGTGGAGGAGGGGAGCTGGAGGCAGGGTGGGTGAGGGAGGATGTGATGTTCAGAGGGTGTGGCTGTAGGTGGTGGGGGTTGGTTGCTGGTGCGATGGCTGCTCTCTTGAGAAAAAGGAAGAGGAAGTTCTGGATAAAATGGCTTAAAATCAGCAACTATGGTTCCTTTAACATAAATACTGACTTACATCTTTGCAGTAGTTAACCACAGTGGAGAGCTGAGAGGTAGCTCTAGCCTCTGGCTACTTGGGCACCTTGTTGTGTGTAAGCATGGAAATATAAACACACACACAATGGTGCAAACACACACTCAGGCTACAAGTAGGCTCTGATACTATTGATCTTGTCTTGCTTCCTGGTTCCAGTTGTGTGGGTTTCTTAAACAGTTAGGATTCGGTGTTGGGAAAACAATCCCAAAAGCTCGTCTGGAAACCGGAATAACTGCACCCAGAGCAAATATGAGCAGAGAGAAAACATAATAGACCGGTTCTCAAACACCTTTAGCATACAGACAGCATGATCTTCTCAGTATCGGTTGGACTCTTTACACTGACCAAACATTTCCTGGAGACACATGTGGTTGAGTTTAAAATTAGAAATGTATACTGTTGCTTGCAGCAGTATTTTAACCCTTGTTGAAGACTGGTCAAACAAGCCAGAAAATTATAATTTTTACAGAAAATTAGGATTTGTATTTTTTTTTTTTGTTCCAAAAAAAGGAAAAGGAATGAGAAATGTACAGTTACACTTTCAGAGACACCTTATAATTTACTGTAAATAGGTTAAATGTAGGTGAAACAACCTTCTTCATAAAACAGATGCATATTTTTTTTAACTGATGCCTCAAATTTTCCTACAATGATCTATGTAATTCTGTACTAGTTGTAGGGAAAATAGGAATATTCTTGTACAAAGCTCCATGTAAACCAAAGTAAATATTAATTCTTTATTAATGTGTTATTGTGAACATTATTCTGCATTGATGTTCAATTGCAAGCTTGTCTGTAGACAAATTGCACATTTTTGCATGTTCAGGGACTCTTTAGATGATGCAGCCAGCAACTGGAATTAAAGGATAGCTTCACAATTTTTAAAGTCTGCCTGGAAACAACAGTCAGGTACACTAATGAGCATTGAAACAGTGTTTGTATGTTGTAATTATTCCTACTGTTTATTTACTTTACAGTGTAAGTGATGGGGTCGTAATCCACAGCAGGCAACAAACGAATTTGTCAGATACTGCCGCTTTGTTTGTGATCTCTGTGTCAGATACAGAAACACAGAGGCACCTTTTGCGCAGTATGAAAACGCACTGGCCGGCGGCCACCTTAGTGTAAAGAGCGAGAAAGTCCCTAAGGCAGGCGGGAGTGGAGGTGGACGAGTCAAACAAGTTCCTGCTGTTTATTTCCAATGTAATACTAAAGTCGACTGAGTTATTTTGATAACAGAGTCATGTGTTAGTATGTGTGGTAGGGAGGTATGTCACATGATGCTGCATGATGTTAGAAACAACCATACTTATTTTAAGCCAAACCATGGTGTTTTTCTCTCAACCTAACCACCTGCTTTTGTTGCCTAAACATAAGAAAATAAACATAAAAATGAGATGTTTTACCTATGTTGTAATTTATTTTGAAAAATACTGGTAAAAGTAACCGTAATTTTTACTGACATTACCCGTAATGATTACAGACATGTCGCGTTCGGACGGGACTAAAATCCCTGGTAATAATTACTTTACCCCACGTCTCCACGTTAACCTAATCCTGCCCGAATAGGGCTTTAGACAGTAGGGATCAAAATGGGTTGAAGCTTCAGAAAACATTCCAACACATCCCGCTTATTTGTCACCCGTCTGTTGAGGTACCCAGCACGATGATCTGATGCTAAAAGGTGGAGCATGAAACACTGCAGTCTGTTAATGGGTCGAGAGAGAGTCGTCACTCTTGCTCGACTACAGTGGACTGTGACCACTGTTCCTATGGATGCAAGGTTACATACATTAGTCAAATATAACTATAAAAATAAAAGATGTTTTGCTGCTTTTTCATCGTTACTAGTTAACATTTAGCAGCTATAGACTAAGAAAAAAAACTGAATTCATTGTGCCACTCAAAGGCTACCATCGGCAGCCATTGGCAGCTTTTAAAGTGGAATGTTTGCTTGCATGTTACTCGATGCATGAGTTGACACAGTGAATCAGTCAACACACCTTAAATGTCAGCATGACAACTTTGACCTTTCTGTTTGTTGTTATTCTCTCTCCTGCATAGCATGTGATTTAATGATGATTGGATCTTCAAGCATTTAAAAAATGTGTATGAATTTCAACTGGCTCCAGTGCACGCTATTATGACGTGCCCTAGTGTCAAATGTTGCGTCTAAACATGCTAATA